AACAAGAGCTTCCTGGTGTGGGTGAACGAGGAGGATCACCTCCGAGTCATCTCCATGGAGAAGGGGGGCAACATGAAGGAGGTTTTCCGCCGCTTCTGCGTGGGGCTGCAGAAGGTGGGTGCCTGCCCTGGCGACGGACCTTTCACTCCACCGGGACGCCCCGCCCCCTTTGCGAGGCCCCGCCCCCTCCCGCCCCCAACGCCAGCCGCCCGCCCACACACCCCCAGCCGCGCCCCAAGGCCACGCCCACTGGCACCCGGCTCCTCCCCATACTGCCCAAGCCCCGCCCCTTCGGACTCGTCCAACCCCATTTCGAAGGCCCCGCCTCCTGGGGAGCCCCCAGGCCCGACCCCCCTCAAGCCCCGCCCCCAAGAACCCAAAGCCCCGCCCCTCAGAATCCTGCTGTCATCCGTGCCATCGGCCCTTTCCGCTCAGCGTTCCCAGCTGCGCCCCTCAGAACCTGGCCCCCACGCCCCCCTCACGTCCCGTCCCTCCCCACGCCGCCCGGGGGTGTTTGGGGGCGCCCGCTGGCGCTGACCCCTGGCCCTCTCCCCTGCCTCAGATTGAGGAGATCTTCAAAAAGGCCGGCCACCCCTTCATGTGGAACGAGCACCTGGGCTACGTGCTCACCTGCCCCTCCAACCTGGGCACCGGGCTGCGCGGAGGCGTGCACGTGAAGCTGGCGCACCTGAGCAAGCACCCCAAGTTCGAGGAGATCCTCAGCCGCCTGCGCCTGCAGAAGCGGGGCACAGGTGCGTGCGGCCGCGCCGTCGGGGGCGGGCCTTTTCCGGTGGCGGATGGGGAGTTGGGGGGTCCCCGCGAGTTCTGAGGGTCGGCAGGGGCTGCCCCTCCGAGCCTGTTTCTTTCCCTGCAAATGAGCATCAAAACAGCTTGCCTCATAGGCGTTGGCTCATCACCATGGTTACACAGCACACCCTGTGCATGTCCCCGCCCCCTGGGGGCTTCAGGTTCCCAGCTAACGGGGCAGATGGAGGGGATGGGATCCCAGTGGGCCCAGGCTACAGTTTCTGGCCGGACAGTAGGGGGCGAGGTAACTGAAGCTGGAGGTGTGGGCTCGCGATAGACAGCGCTTAGGAGGCTCTGGAGTCTGTAACCCTCAGTGCAGGCGGCTGTCCGGCGCGGGGGCGGCGCCCGGCCGCTGGGCACCCCGCTGCCTCCTCAGGCCCCGCTTTCTGCTCCCGCAGGGGGCGTGGACACGGCTGCCGTGGGCTCCGTGTTCGACGTGTCCAACGCCGACCGGCTGGGCTCGTCCGAGGTAGAGCAGGTGCAGCTGGTGGTGGACGGCGTGAAGCTCATGGTGGAGATGGAGAAGAAGCTGGAGAAGGGCCAGTCCATCGACGACATGATCCCCGCCCAGAAGTAGGCGCCCAGCCCGCCTGCCGCCGCCGCCCGCTGGAGCCCCAGCCGCAGGGGAGGCCCCGCCCACTCTCATGCCCCGCCCCCGAGGCCGGCCTATCAGGGTCTGGTCCCCAAGGAGCCCTATCCAATCAGAGTTCCAACCAATGGGCTCCGTCCTCTGGGCTCTGGCCAATGAGAAACCTCTCCTTCCCCCAGAGCTCGGCAATGGAGCGCGTCCCACACACGTGGCGCTCATGCTGTTTTCCACTCAAAGCAACGAATAAAAGCGATGGTGGCCTTAACGTTGTGCGCAAGTTACTGAGGGAGGAGGAGGGGCTTTTGTCCCTGGCTGCTATGTGACCTCGAAGTGGTTTGTCCTCTCCAGGCACGTTCTAGCCCAGATGAGGCAGTTAGGGTACAGAGTGTCATCCAAAAACTGTAAAGCTCTAGCAGGGGTCTTCAAACTACGGCCCGCGGGCCACATGCGGCCCGCAGAGGAGTCTGATCCGGCCCGCCAGGTTTTTTGGGCAGTGAGCGCAGCCGAGGTGTTAAAGTAGGAATTAGTAGTTCATATAGTCCGGCCCTCCAGCTCTCTGAGGGACCGTGATCTGGCCCCCACTTTAAAAAGTTTGAGGACCTCTGCTAGGGAATCTGAAACCCGAAGAGGTGTGGCCCAGGGTCAGATAGCCGTGCTTGGGCCCTTCCCAGCCTCGGCTCCTGCTCACACTTGGCTCAGATCTCAAGCACAGGGTGCGTGAGGGAGAAACCCAGGCCACAGTGCCCGAGACTGGAAATAGGCACAGGCTTCCAGCTGAGCCCGCCTATGCCTGTCCTCACCACTGCACCTGTCACGCCCCCGCTGGCCCCCTGTGGGGTCTGACTGCAGCCCTCTGCGTTGCTACCCGTCTTTTCAACTTCCCTTCGCCCAAGAACCTGCCGGAGCTCCCGCACCTCTCAGAAGGCACCCTATGATTTGTCCAGCTGGCGTGCACTGTTTGAGGCTCATTTTTTCCTATTCTTTTCCTGCGGTTCCTCTATAGACTCTTTCCTCCTCACACTTGCAAGTTCCACCTTTATGTCTGCAAAAGCCGCTCCAGCAGGGACTTGGGGCCGAGTATCCCCGTGAAGTCTTCAGAGACTGGCCTTTTGGAGAGCTTGGTCCCGAGAAGGAGGGAATGGAGGCCCAGGGAGCCCCAAGAATTCCAGGAGAGACAGAAAGAGGAAGGTTAGGAGCGACTCTGAAGGCCTAGCCAGGCAGCTGCCGGGATGTCCTTTCCAAGATTGTCCCCAACTGAGGACCCATCACTAAGCCCAGCGCCACCCGAGGCCACACAGGTCACGGCTCTGCAGCAGGGCAGGCTGAGACAGATCCGGTGTCTGGCAGCTGCCATGCCCACGCTGCCCATTTTGCCTCGTATGTCTTAGACCCGCCCTTTTCCTCCCCCGCTTTAGTCGGTCCTGCCTCCACGCCTTCCCTACTCTTTTCAAAATTCATTTCTTGGTGAGAGAGATCTGTTGTTCCACTTATGCATTCACTGGTTGCCTCTTATATGTTCCCTGACGGGGACTCAAACCCACAACCTTGGCACGTGGGGACAATACCCTTACCAACTGAGCTACCTGGCCAGGGCCCTCTTCCCCGCTCTTCTGGGGTCTCCTTCCCTCCCTTCACAGCACAGACCTTCCCTTGCTCACCGCCAAGGGTTCCCCGAGGCCCTCAGAATAGGGCCCAGGCCCTCTCCACAATCTACAAGGGCCTGTCCAGTCTCCTCTCACCCTGAATCCTATGCCATCTCCTGAGGAACCTGCACCCCCCTGCTTCCCAGCCAGCCAGTCACACAGGTTGTCCCTCTCTGCACCCACCCCCACCTCACTGCTCTTTCAGGAAGCCTCCGTGGCTGAGGCTGGCTCCCCTGTGGACTGCCTCCCCCCCGCCCCTCCCGCCCAGTCTGGCTCAGCACCAAGGACACAGCTGCCTCCTTCACTGAACCGAGCCCCGAGGGCAGGGTTGGGGCTGTCTTTGACACCACGTGTCCCCATCACAGGGCTGTTCCCCAACCCCCACCCCCACCCCCACCCTTTCCTGGCCTCTCAACTATAAACGGCTTTCAGCAGTTTGCTCTTCTGGTCTCCCTGACAGGGGGGCTTCTGCCCCAGCCCCTGAATTTTTCAACACCGATCCGTCTTTGCCACCCTTCCTCCCTCATGACGTCCCTATCAGCCTCATGAGGGGCTAGGGTTGACATTACCATGCCCCAAGTGGGCAACCGAGGCAGTTAGGGCTCCTCCCTGCATACAGCGCTCAGGGCTCTTCAGTGCCTGGGACAGAAGCCCAGCTCGCTCACTCTGGCCACAGGGTGCTGGATGAACAGATCTGCTTCCTGCACTGGACAGTCCTCAACTGCTTGTCTGTTAAATACACACTGAGGGGCCAGGTTATTATGATCTCTGAACCCATCATCATCTGGCCACTCAGTGCACTTCTCTTGAGTACCTCATTTGTCTGGTATCCAAGATATTTTAAATCATGCACCTGGTCAGTTTTCCCCTTTGCACTGGCTGATAGCTCAGGGCAAATAGGTAGTTGATCTCCAGCAAAAGTGTAGAATACTTTTGGTACCCATTTGAGATACAAATACAGAGTGGACAGATTTTTATGTGTTCAGAGATCATAATGATCTGGCCACTCAGTGTATATTGTTATTCCTCATATGGATTTTTCCATTGTTTTTCAGAGTGGAAGGAAGGAAGAAAAACATCTATGTAAGCGCGGGGGGAAGGGAGGGAGAAGAGGGGGCAGGGAGCAAATACGCAACCCAGGTGTGTGCCCTTGACCGGGAATCAAACCTGCAACCCTTCAGTGCATAGGCAGACGCTCCGATCACTGAGCAACCAGCCAGGGCAACTGCTTGTCTATTGAATTTCCATTTCCCTGCTGTCCAGGACTCATTGACTTTCCTCTGGGAAATCCCTACATACAGCTCCTGCTACCTGAGTCTCAACAATTGGTTGAAGGGTGGTCACATGACCTATCTGAGCCAATGAGAAGCTGTCTTGGAACTTTTGCTGGAAGTTGGCACTCAGGAACTTTCTGTTGCACGAACTAAACTGGAGCGATGAAAGTTGGAACTGCTGGGGTCACTTTGCCAACAGGGAGTGTCTACTGGATAAAACTGCTAGAATGGAACTCGCTGAGGAAAAAAAACAAATAAAAATAAAGCAGACATGAGCTGGCCTGCTGCCTGGACCCAGCCACACCTGAAGTCAGGCGCCTGACTATTAAATAACAAGCAAATAGCTTTTGGCTTAAATGCAGATGGATTATTAGTCCGAATTCAGCATCGATCTTGCTAATTCTCCCCCCGCCACACACACACAGCGGCCCCGCTAAATTACCCACAGTTCTCTGAAGACACGCCACGCATCCCGGCTTTTGTCGGGCAGTCCCGATACCCGGTGAACTCCAACTCATCCTTCCAAACCCAGCTGTGCCATCGGTTCCTCTGGAATGCCTTCCCCGGCCTCCTTTCTCTTCTGGGATCCCCAGAACAATGGTTTCCTTCGTTTGTCATAACCCATGGCCCCTGTACACAGGGCGGCTTCTGCCTCCATGTCCAGCAGGGGGCCCAGCACGGAGTAGGCACCGATCAATGACTGTTTATTGGATAAATGTACTACTGGAGTAGGAAGTGGCTTAGAGTCCAGTATAACATGTGGGTGGGCACGTGAGTGGATGAACGGGGGTCCCACCTAGGAACTGGGGGCCTGCGGATGAGGCTGAGTCCCTGACCCTCACACGCCCACTGCTCCCATTCTGCAGATGAGAAGACTGAGGCTCAGAAAGGAGAAACCACTGGCCCAAAGTCACACCCCTCCTCTTCACCTCACCTGCGCATGAGGGCAGGGCAGAACCCCAGGGACAGCGTGGAGGAGGGGGGACTTTCCTAAGTTTATTGGACGACAGGCTGCAGGTGAGGGGGCTGAGAGAGGAGGAGGGTGGGGGTGTAATAACTTAAAAACCGGAGGTGACAGCGGCAGCTCCTCAGAGATCTCTGCAGAGGGAGGGCGTGGGGGTATTTACAAGGATTTGTACAAAGTGCCCCGCACCGGCCTGGGGCGGGCAGGGGCGTTCGAGCACGAGGGGCGGGGAAAGGGAAGGAGTCTGCCTGACCCCCACCCCCAGCCCCCAATTCGCCGTCTACAGGCTCAGCAACCCCTCCCGCCCCGGCCCAAGGCCGAATGCTGGAGCTGTGGGGAGGAATGGAGAAGTGTCCTCGGTGTTCCTCCCGCCCCTGCCCCGCCCCGGAGTCTCCTCGGTGCCCGCTGCGGGAGCGGAGGGTCAGGACCGGCGGAGGCGCCCTGCTGAGCCCACTCACCCCCTGGTGCCGAGCTCCCCCGAGAACAGCAGAGGAGAGTCTGCGCCCCAAATCCAAGTCAGAGCAACCGGGGACGGCAGGGCGCACCCTCCGCGGCCTGGCCTCCCGCGGAAGGAGGGAGACGGGGAGCGGGACGGGACCGGGCCGTGGCTCAGAGCTCGAGGTCGTTGGAGATGCGGGTGACGAGGGTGCGGAAGGCCAGGGCGGTGCCCGCCACGCGCCGGAAGAGAACGCCCCGCAGGCCCGGCCGGGGCAGCTGGCAGACCTCCACTTCGAAGTGGGACAGGGGCTCGGGCCCGCCCGCACCCCCGTGCAGGCAGGCCAGCAGGAACGGCTGCGGCTGGCGGCAGCGGCAGCGGGCGGCCGCGGTGGCCTGGCGCAGGGCCGCCATCAGGGCCTCGGGCGGGCGCGAGCTGGTCAGCTTCACACTCCAGGGGAATCGGAGCAGCCGGGGGGCGGTTTCCGCTTGATCCCAAGGTAGATGGCAACTGAGGAGGGGAGACAGCAGAGGTCAAGGCAGGAGAGGAGAGGAGGGCAAGCCGCTGTCCCCTCCTCCGGACAGACCCCTAGATGTCCCCGTGGAGCCTGTCACCGTGTCATCCCCAGGGCCAAGTTTCAGCTGGACACACGGCGGCCACCCAGCCAGGGACCACATTTCCCAGCCTCCCCTGCCGCTGGGCATGGTCTTTGCCTCCAAATCCCAGGAGGCAAGTGGAGGTGACACGCGTGCACCTGCACATACATGACCCCCTTCAGTGGACACTGCAGGCCCGGACCCTCTGCCCAGGTCCTCTGAGGCGGCCTCTCCTTCCTAATACCGCGGCCCTTTAATACAGCTCCTCAATGTGGTGGTGACCCCCAACCATATAACTATTTTCGTTGCTACTTCATAACTGCAATTTTGCTACTGTTATGAATCGTAATGTAAATCTCTGTGTTTCCCGATGGTCTTAGGCGACCCTGCTAGCGGTTCTCAACCTGTGGGTCGCGGCATTAGAAAGGTTGAGAACCGCTGATCAGAAGGATGGTGATGCAAGAACCTCGCCACCTGATGAGCCTGGGGAGCGGAGGGGCCCTGGGCTGGCCACGTGGTTTGGGTAAAAGGGAACTGTATTCCTGTCTCTTTTGGGGTCTCTGCTCCAGCAGCTGGGCTTGTTCTTCACTAACTCATCGTTCTGATGAGAACAGTCCCTTTTCCCTCGGAGGACCAACCTTCTCCACTCTAGACCACGTTTCTCACCAAGAAGGGGACTTGGAAATTTCTGGGGCTTTCTGATTGTCGCTCTGTCTCGGCAGGGGAGCACTGGGGGCATTTATTAGCTTGTGTGTGGGGAGGGTCAGGTTCTGCAATGGGAAGAGGCCCCCGCACAACAGAGATACCCTGCCTCCGGCACCAAGGGCGTTCCTTCCGGGACGCACTGCAGAGCTAGTCTTTCTGGTTTAGGTGGGCTGACTGGCTCTCAGTGCCAAGGGTGGGCACATGACTCAGTCCTGGCCAATGAGAGCATTCCATCTCCCTGGCCACTGTGATTGGCTCAAGGATAAGCACATGATTATATCTGACCAATCAGAAGAATACTCCATCCTCCGCCACAGGTATTGGTTTGGACACGTGACAAAGCCCCAGCCAATGAGAGTCAGTCCTGGGACTTTGTTGGAACTACTGGGGCACTTCCACTGGGGGGGTCTCTAAACTGGTATCCTGTCAAACTCAAGTAGGGCTTGGCAAAGTACAGCACTGCTTGCTTTTTGTAAATAAAGTTTTACTGGAACGTAGCCAGACCCATTTTTTTGTATCGAATATAACCACTTTTGTGCTACAATCGCAGAGCTGAATAAGCATGACAGAAGGACTAGCCCTCAAAGTCTAAACTACTTTCTCCCGGGACTGTTAGATTCTGTCTGCCACAGCTGGCCCAGGCTGCTGGCCACCGTTCTGCTCTCGGGAGGAGAGGAAAGGTGGGGCGTGAGCAGGGGGAGGAGCTGTTACAGATGGGAGAGGCTGAAGTTAGACACTGTCAAGAGGAGGTGCTGCCGAGACCGGTTTGGCTCAGTGGGTAGAGCGTCGGCCTGCGGACTGAAAGGTCCCAGGTTCAATTTGGTCAAGGGCAAGTACCTTGGTTGGGCACATCCCCAGTAAGGGGTGTGCAGGGGGTGTGCAAGAGGCAGCTGATCGATGATTCTCTTTCATCGATGTTTCTAACTCTCTATGCCTCTCTCTTCTTCTCTGTGAAAATTCAATAAAATATATTTTTTTAAAAAGAAAAAAAGATTTAGCATTAAAAAAAAAAGAGGAGGTGCCCAGGATGGGTGGAAATGAGGGGAGTCTGCAGAGCGGAGGAAGAGCTGCTGGTAGAGAAGGGAGGGTCACAGGGGGATTCAGGGAGTTGGCCTTAAAGGATGAGACTCAGTCCCACTAAGGACCCGGGGGAGGGGGAGGGGCAGGGGCTGAGGTATTGGGGTCTGAGGCCCGTGAGGGAGAGGGATGGTGTGGCAGTCACATGACCCCACTTACCTTGTGACCTCAGGTCCCCCGATTCTCTCAGGTTCGTCTGAGACCCTAGGGGAGGAGAGGGGGCCAGAGTGTTTAACCGGGACACGGGGAGCCTCCTCTCCCCCACCCGCTGCCTCCAAGACCCTGCCCTGGCCCCGTGCCCCCTGCTGGCTGGAGCCGGGCAGGGGAGGGCCCAGAGCCGAGATTGGCTCTCCTTGTCCATTCTGAGATGGTTAGTGCAGGGCGTAGGAAAGACACTGGAGTTTGGAAGACGAAAGCAGCAGGCAGGCGGGCAGAGACCACATGGAGAAGGGGAGACACACACGCAGCCCTTCCTAGGCTTTGCTCCAATGGCCCCTCCCGTGAGGCTGCCCCGTGGAGAGCCGCACCTTCCCTTTCCCACGCCCCGCCCCCTCCCCTGCCCTAGTTTTCTCTCCCGGACTTGTCACTGCCTGGCAGTCCATGTATGTTCCTTATTTGCTGCTCACGTCTGGGTGCCTTAGTGGAATGCTGGCTCTGCCCGGGCAGGGCTTGGCAAGGACGTCTTGTTCACTGTACCCCAGGGCCCAGGACGGTGCACACACACAGCAGGTGCCCAGTGAATAACACAGGCAAACATTACAAAGCACATCCCAAGGCAGCATCCTAGGCTCGGCCCATACACCACCTCCCTTGGTCCACACGGCGACCCTGTGAGGGAGCTGCTGCTCTGATCATCCCCATTTTACAGAAGAGAAGAGCGAGGCCCAGCGAGCCGGAGCGGCCTGCTCAGGTCCCTCAGCAGAGCTGGGTCTGAACCTCCTGAGCCTGGCTCCAGGGGCCAGACTGTTGTTTATTAAATGAGCGAATGACCCCACGTACAGACGCCGCCCCCACGCCCAGCACCCCGCCCCCCACGCCGGCACACACAGCTCGGACATGCGGACGAGGAGGCAGAGCCAGGGAGAGCGGAGGGTGGACAGGACTTACTGATCTTGGATCCCTGGGGCAAAGAGGCGCCCGAAACGCAGCGGTTAGAGTTCTGCCGTTTAGAGGGATCGAGGGTAACCCTGCAGCGTGAGGAGGGAGTGAAGGTGACGGAGGAGGAGGGGGGTGAGGTGGAAGTGGAGGAGGTGATGTCGAGGCAAAGGAGGCAGAGTTGAGTAGGAGACAGGTAAGGCCCATCAGCCCCCAACCTCGACCCCTGGCCCCCGGGGCCCCCGTGGGACTCACCTTCGGGTCAGTTTGGAGGTCAGCTTGGTGAAGAGGTTGGTGGTGGGGCGGGGCCGCCCGGCGGGCAGGGGTGTGGCCTCGTGGGCCAGCGTGGGAGAGGCCGGGGGCCCGTTCTGCACGCCCCCGCCTCCCCCGCTCCCTGCCCGCCGGTCCCGGACCTGGCCCCCGTGGAAGGTGCTACGGATGGTGGAGCCCCGCGCCAGGCGGCTCCGCTCCCCGGACGGGGGAGCCAGGCTGTGACTGGACGGGGAGGCGGGGGGCACCCTCGGGGTACCCGAGCTGTGGGCAGAGAGGAACAAGTCAGAGAGGGACCCCAAGGCAGGCCAAGTGCCCAATCCAGATTCCTCCCTGTCCTGAGATCAGAACCTTCTCCCCACCAGGAGCTCAGAGAAGGGCGAGCTGTGCCAGCTGTGTCTGCACCGGCCCCTCCACAGGCCCCCTCCTCACCCGTCCCTCTTCAAACTCTGCCCGCTCCCCACTGCCCCACCCAGCCCCCTTTCTCCAAACTCAGCGCTGGATAGATTCAGATACATTTCTGGATGAATCCTTTGCTATTTGCCATTCAAACCTCAGGAGCCAAGTCAACTTCACAAATACCCTGCTATCTCACCCCCATTATCCAAACTTGGGAAATGAATAGATGTGTACGTCAAGGGTATTCATATTCATTGTAACAATTTCTCAACAGGTGAAAATAAAAAGGAGGGACCTGCTTCTGAACTCTCTCAAGATGGCGTGTGAGCACTGGTGACCCCACTGTCCCAGAGCCTCCTCCAGCCCCTCCAACACTCCCAGTTCTGACAGCAGGGCCCAAGCTCCAATCTCCAGCCTGGAACTCAAAGAGGGAACCATGACTGTGGCAGATGCCACTACCTCTCCCCTAGAATCCATCCTTCTTGTTTTTCTATAGTAATCAAACCTTTAACTAAGACATGAGTACAGCACAGGGCCTCCTAGCCAGAGACTACATTTCCCAGCCTCCCTTGCAGCTAGGGGTGGCCATATGACTATGCTCTGGCCAATAGCATAAAAACAAAAGTGCTTGGTTCTATTGTTGGGTCTAAAAAGAATGCTGTTTGCCCTCTACTTTCTTTTTTAAATATATTTTTATTAATTTTTTAGAGAGGAAGAGAGAGGGATAGAGAATTAGAAACATCGATGAGAGAGAAACATCGACCAGCCGCCTCCTGCACAACCCCTACTGGGGATGTGCCTGCAACCAAGGTACATGCCCTTGACCGGAATAGAACCCGGGACCCCTCAGTCTGCAGGCCGACGCTCTACCCACTGAGCCAAATCGGCTTCGGCTCTTTTTTTCTTTTTAATAATATCTTTATTGATTTCAGAGAGGAAGGGAGAAGGAAGAGATAGAAACATCAACGATGAGAGAGGATCAGTGATTGGCTGCCTCCTGCATGTCCCCTATTGGGGATCAAGCCGGCAACCCAGGCATGCGCCCTTGACTGGAATTAAACCTGGGACCCTTCAGTCCAAAGGCTGACGCTCTATCCACTGAGCCAAACCAGCCAGGACTGCCCTCTACTTTCTTTCTGCCCCTCTGGCTGTTTGGGAAATGGTGGCAACTGCGGCCGTGGCCTGAGACCCAGATCTGAGGCTCATGTTGAGATCGGCGGAATCCATCTGGGTTCTCAGAGGACCAACCCTCCCCCGTCATTTAAGCCATGACAGCGTCTCTCGACTAGAACTGGAAGGCCACGCATTACCATGGTTACAAACACAGACTCTAGAGTCAGTCTAGCATCTTTGCTTCTCGACTCACCAGCTGTGGCCCTGGACAGTGTACTTAGCTTTTCTGTATCTCATTTTCTCAGCTGTCAATGCAGACCAGGCTCTACCGCACAAGGATCAGGGCATGCCACCAGCTGAGGTGCAGAGGCCTGGCACAGGGTACCTGCTTGGTGATTATTATTTTTATATCCCGACAGTCCTGGTGGGCAGGAGTGTCACTGTCCCAGAGTCCCCCCTGCCCCACTCCTGGACTTGAACCCTGACATGAACAAATTCATTCCCTTTCGCCTCCAGCCAGTCTGCGCTGGTTCCCTCACTTGCCAGCTGAGAGAGGCTGGACAGACACGAGCAAACAAGTTTGAACACAAGCCAACCAGAGGATGCGGAAGCTGTGACATTCTGGGCTTCTAAGTTCTAAAAATGGATCATTCCAAAAAAATAAACTCCGATTTCTAAGGCTCGTGGGCAGGGAACAGGGCAGACTGCTTCCCGGTGCTGACTAATTAGGGAGGAGGATGTTCAGGGGACTCTGGGAGGGGGAGGACTCGCACATTCTGCCACCGGCCGGGCAGATAATACCCTCCCCAGAACCCACGGCACCCCTGTCCCCCAACATCTGCCCCCTCAGATCCAGGGGGCCCTGCTCACCTCCCCCCACGCCCCGCCCCTTTCTCCACTGCCACCCGCTCCATACCTGTTTTCCTTGCCATTTGGCAGCAGGGACGGGCGCTCAGCCCCTGGGCGTTCCGTGCAGACGTAGGTGTTCCTGCGCGTCATCATGCTGGGAGGGAGGTTGTTCTGTGGGAGACAGGCCAGGAGGGAGTGAGGGCACGGAGGGCCACTCCTGATCCCTCACGCTTACCCTCCCTGGGCTTCCTCATCATGAACACGGAGAGGCCTGTGTGTAAACTGAAGGTTACTCTGGGCTGAAGAAACCGAAGACTAGGCTCATGGGACATCCCAGCAATCCGAGGGAGTCACAGGAGGCCGGGGCTGGGAGGAGGGAGGGTCGGGAGGCTCCGGGGGCAGCCCAGTCCACCTCTCCCGCCCCCCCCCGCCCCTCCCCCCGCCCCCGGTACAGACCAACCAACTTGTAAAACACATTCATGCTACACGGTGTCTCTCCGCGCTGCCTGTGCACAGACGGTCTCATCTGCTTGGATATTCCTCCTACCTCCCCCTGACTCACTCCTGTGTACAACTGAGGTATCACTTCATGATGCACCCCCACCCCCAGCTCCAGACTGAGTCAGGGTCGCCTCTGGCCCCCCCAAGGCAGCCTCCGTCACTCCGCGCTGCAACATCTGTTCCTGTGCTCGCCCTCCCCAGAGCCGTGAGCTCCGAGGACAGAAATATCCCGGCGGGCGCTGCCACCGCATCAGCCGCGCTGGGAGCGAGCCCTCCTCTCGCCCAGGCTGCTGTCTGAGGCTGGTGTTTCTTATGTTTGGAAGCGTTCCGCCCGTTTAGAGCCATCTGTGTCTGGAATTTCCTGTATGGGAAAGTTCTAAATGATGAAGTCTATTTTCTTTAACAAGAACATGCGACTGTTCAGGTTTCCCATTTCTTTGTGTGTCCGTTTGGTTCACTGTGTCTTTAAGGCTTTTGTCCATCTCATCTAAGTGGTCAAATCTATTGGCTTAAAGTAGCTCCTACCTCCTTCTCGCTATCTCTTCCCGTTACAACAGTCCCCTTTCCATTCCGATATTGGCGATTCGTGTTTGCTGCCTTCTTTCTGTCAGTCCTGCTCAGGGTCCAGTGCTTCTACCAACCTTTCTAAGCACCAGCTTCCGGCTCTGTTGGTTTTCTCCAGTGTACACTTGTTTTCCCTTTTATTGACTTCTATTATTTCCTCCCTTCTCCTTTCTGGGGGGCTAACCTGCTGTTCCTCTCCTCCCTCCTTAGCTGTGGGTGTATTGGAACACCAACAGCAGAGCAGGCACTGCGCTCACTGAGCAGGCACTGCGTGCAGTGCTTTCTGTACAAGATTCTCTTCTCACAATCACCCAGGTTCTTAATGAGCTCATTTCACAGGACGGAGTCCTAAAGCTCAGAGAGGTAGAGTCACTTGCTCAAGGACACACAGCTCATCGGTGTCATTCAAACTTCGGTCTCTATGGCTTCAGCATCCGGACCCCTTTCCTATCACTGCCTGCACCGGGGCTCCCCTGTCGAGGGCATTTTGGTTCCTCCGCTGCACCATTCCCCTCTAGGCAGCTTCAGACGCCACGTCTACATCTCAGATTCGCCGGCAGCTCAGGTTCTGGACAGGAACGGGTCCTGCCAACCTTCTTACTCATGAAGCCCCGACTTCTGCTCTCACAGGCCAGGCCCTGCGGTCTGTGCTGCTGCAGGCCCCACGCCCTCTCCCAGGTGCTGAGGGCATGGGGCCTCTGGGTGAGGGTGAAGTCCTGGGTCTCGCACTGGAGCCCTGACCGTGTGTGTCCTGGAATTCAACAGGGCTGCAGGCAGCCCCAGAGGGGGCAGCTCCCGGTGGCTCTGGACTGCTGACGAGGTGTCATTCCCACAGGTCTAGTCCTTCACCTGCTTCTCCAGCCCTTCCTACAATTTGGTAAGCACCTCAGCCAGTTCCCTGTATTAAATCCTCCCTGCCCAAAGCACGCTGTATGCTTCCTTCGGACTCTGAATGCTAATTTACACATGAGCATCAAGCACAAGATCAGACAGAGGGAACGCTCAGAAAAGGTTTGCTGAATGAATGAGTGCGTGAACGGATGAACAAGGAGTCCCCTGTGTGGTTGGGGAGCAGGATGGGAATCGCCTGGTCTGAAAAGATGCGAGCCCAGTGGCACTGTAGGCCGGGCCTCGTGGTCGCAGCCCGCCCCGCCCGGCCGGCCGCTCGCTCACCGGGGTGCTGGCGCTGTCCTTCCGCCGCTCCGGGATCTCGGCCTTGTTGGGGTTGTGGGCGCTGCTGACCATCGGGCTGGACGGGGGCAGCCCCCGGCTCCCGCTGCCCGCAGCACTGCAGCTCGCCTTCCGGCTGGGCAGGCGCTCCTCCTTCAGCTCCGCCTCCCCCGTGCTGGTGGGGCTGCGCTTGGGGTGCAGGGGTGCGGGGGACGGGCCGCCTGGCGGAGGGAGGGGACAGTTAGGGTGGCATCCCCTGGAAATACGGGACCTGCACTGGGTGATCTGGGAACCTCAGCATCCCTCGCCTGGGCCCTGTCTCTGTGCAGGCCTGACGGGGGCCGTCAGAGTGGCCCAGAAGCTCCGCCATGACAGGATGCTCGCAGAGGCAGGCTATGCCGGCATCATCCTCCCCTTTTAGGGCCAGAGACTGGGAACAGGTGAATAGTTAAATAAACGAAGGTATTTCCACACACGGAATACTATGCAGCCATTAAGAATGAGAACGCTCCGCCCAACCGACGTGGCTCATTGGTTGAGCATCGACCTATGACCAGGAGGCCCCCAACTGATTCAGTCAGGGCACATGCGCGGGGTGCAGGCTCAGTCCCAGTGTGGGGCGTACAGGAGGCAGCTGATCCATGATTCTCTCTCATCGTTGATGTTTCTCTCTCTCTCTCCCTCTCCCTTCTTTCTGAAAACAATAAAAATAAAAATGAATGAGAAAGCTCTTATGTAACAAGAGTGATCTTCAAGACAAACTGCAAAGCAGGCCTACACAGTGCTGTCATTTGCATAAAAAAGGAGAAAAGTGCCTATCTCTACCGGATCTCCTCGTTTATATACGAATATCTCCAAAGAGCTATCGTCTGCATCAGGAGGATATTACCTTTACGGTAAATTGTTTACATAATCTTTGTATGCCCCTTTTTATCTTCCCTCTCTCTCTCTCTCCCTCTCTCTCTCTCTCTCTCTCTCTGCACACACACACACACACACACACACACACACACACACACACATTTATTCACAAAAGGACATTTTCCCCATTGATTTTTGGAGAGAATGGAAAGGAGGGAGGGAGAGGGAAAGTGGGAGGGGGAAGGAGATGGAAAGGGAGAGGGAGAGAGAGAGAGAGAAAGAAACATCACTGCGCTGGGACCGGTTTGGCTCAGTGGATAGAGCGTCGGCCTGCGGACTGAAGGGTCCCTGGTTCGATTCCGGGCAAGGGCATGTACCTTGGTTGCGGGCACATCCCCAGTGGGGGGTGTGCAGGAGGCAGCTGATCGATGATTCTCTCTCATCGATGTTTTTGACTCTCTATCCCTCTCTCTTCCTCTCTGTGAAAAATCAATAAAATATATTTAAAAAAAGAAAAAGAAACATCACTGCAAGAGAGACACACTGATTGATTGTCTCCCACACGTGCCCCAACTGGGGCCAGGAATGGAACCCGCAACCCAAGTACGTGTCCTTGACCGGGAATCGAACCCAGGCCCTTCGGTGCACAGGCCGAGGCTCTAACCACTGAGAACCACTGGCCAGGAATACCTCATTATCTCTCTCTATAAAACCCTAATATGCAAATAGACAGAACGGTGGAACAACCGAAAACTGGTTGCTATGATGTGCGTGGACCACCGGGGGGTGCGTGCAGAAATTGGTGGGCTTTGGCCACAGCAGGATGGTGGAGCTGGTGAGCAGGGGCACCAGACCAAGGCAGGGTGCCGGTTGCTGTCATTGGGGCCAGCCTCTGCTGGTTACAGAAAATTATTTGCTCCTGCCTGCCAGGGCCACTCACACCTGCTGCTGGTGCTGACCCTGCTTGCACCTGCTGCCTGCCTCAATCACTCAATGCCATCAGCAGGTGCCACCTGCTTCTCCACCTACCCCTGCTCCTGAGGGGTGATGGGGCCAGCAGCTGCCTCTCGCACCCGATGCTAGTAAAGGCCCTGCTCACACCCGCTGCCAACTCCTGGTGCCAGCCCCTATCTCTTGGTGCCGTCAGCGGGTGCAAGTGGCGGCTGCTGGCCCCGATTGCCCCTGAGTGCTTCTCCACCGCCCCCTGCTCCTGAGGGGTGATCAGGGCAGCAGCCACTGCTCGCACCCACTGACTGCGCTGGCCCCAATCGCTCCATGCCATCAGTGGGTGCGAGTGGGGCTGGTGCCATCAGCGGGTAGGAATGGCAGCGGTGGTATCCGGGGACTGGGGACCGGGGGCCTCACTGCCCAGAGATCTTTTCAAAGTGCACAAATTTGTGCACTGGGCCCCTAGTATATTTATAAATAAAACCTCTCCAAACGAATGTATATAAACCCAGTAACAGTGGCTGCTCCAAGGAGAACGGGTGGGGGTGGGGCTCACAGAATGCTGCACGAAGACTATATCTTACTGTTTGCGCTTTGCGTACCGCCAAGATTTAAAGCCTGTGATTGTTGTAATTTCAAAAACAAATCTGGCCCCTTAGAACATCTGAGGAATTTATGGTTCTAGAACCCGGGGATTAAACACGTTCTAGAACGTCAGAGTCAGAACTGCTAAATCCTCAGGAACCTTAAAGGTCACCGTCCAAGAACCGTAATCTCTATGACGACAGAGGGGCACTGACAGACACGGGCACTGGAGCGACCCTCTGCCCTGAGAGCCTGGGAGCCCAGGTCTCCACGGGGTGTTGGGGCACAATGTTCTACCACAAGATGTTGGAGTCACAGCCCCTCTGGCACTTTCTGGGCCAGTCTTGCTATTTAAAGGGGTGGGGGACCCCTAGCTGGTGTTGCTCAGTGGATAGAGCATCGGCCTGCGGACTGACGGGTCCCCAGCTCGATTCCAGTCAAGGGCAAATGCCTGGGTTGTGGGCTTGATCCCCAGTGGGGGCATGCAAGCGGCAACTGATTTATGATTCTCTCTCTCATCATTGATGTTTCTATCTCCCTCTCCCTTCCTCTCTGAAATCAATAAAAATAAATAAATAAATAAATAAATAAATAATAATAATAACGAAGGGGTGAGGGAGCCCTGGCTGGTGTGGCTCAGTTGGTTAGGCATCAACCCATGCACCAAAAGGTTACCAATTCGATTCCCGGTGGGGCACATGGTATGTTGTGGACTCAATCCGTGGTAGGGTGTGTGCAGGAGACAGCTAATCAATGTTTCTTCCTCTCTACCCTTCTCCTTTTCTCTCTAAAAATCTAGAAAAGCCAAAGCCGGTTTGGCTCAGTGGATAGAGCATCAGCCTGCGGACTGAAAGGTCCCAGGTTCAATTCCAGTCAAGGGCATTCCATTAGGGATGTGCAAGAGGCAGCTGATCGATGATTCTCTCTCATCGATGTTTCTAACTCTCTTCCTCTCTGTAAAAAATCAATAAAATATATTAAAAAATAGAATAAAAATTAAAATTAAAATCTATAAAAAAAAATAAAAAAAAAACCTTTAAAATAAAAGGGGTGGGGGAAGGAGACCCAGAGCGGGGAACGGCTTGACCTTCTAGAACCACACACTTCCTGCTCAGGCTGAGCTCCCGACCCTCCTCTCCAGGTACAGCTTGAGAGAGACTGGGAAAAGGATAGGTTGAGACCGGTAAGGGAGGAAGGAAAAACCAAATGAGCAGAGAGGAAGCGAGAGAGTGTCTGCTGGGGGTCTGGCTGCTTTTCCAGCTTCTGATGCTTCCCTGAGCCTAGCTGTGCGTTCCTGCCTCCACAGTCTGTGCGACGTGCCTGCATCTCAGTAAGGAAGCCTCTCTTGGAGGCAATGGAGCCGGCTGCTGTTGCCCTGAGGGCCTGGCTGGGAGGCCTTACTCACAGAAGTCGCTGTGCCGGCGCTGGCGGTGATAGGTGGAGGAGGAGCTCCGCTGCCCTTTGCTGTGGCTGGTGCCTTTGCTGGCGCTTGTCCCGTTGGTGGTGTCGCTGGGCGCCCGCACCCTCGCCAGGGCCAGTGCTGGAGCGCCCCGGTCCCCACCCTCCTGCAGGACAGACGACGAGCCTCAGCCCATGTTCTCTCTGCCCCAGACATCCCTCCAGCCCGGGCACCCGAATCCCAAACGCCCCGCGCCTCCTGACCTCGGTCTTCCTGCCCAGCAGGAGGTAGGTGGCGGTCACTTCGTTGTACTTCTGGCTGGTCAAGGCCTCTTTGATTTCCTCCCGGGTGTAGCCCATGCCCACCATCACCTCTGAGAGAGGGCGACAGAGAGGAGGCTCAGGCCCTGGCCCTTCCTCTCCACGTCAGCGATGCCCACCCTTTGGCTGCCCAATGCCCACTCCCCCTTCCGCCAGGAGGACCCTGACTTTTCCTTGGCAGGACATCCTTTCCCACGCGGACCACTCAGCTGAGGCCTGCCTGCCCCAAGCCCTGCCCCAGGTCTGCCCCCCCCACCGCCCAAACTGCCTGGTTCAGGGGCGGCCAGTGGGCTCCACTGGTGCTCTCAGAGGAAATGTAGGAAGTGGCTCTCCTGACGAGGTGCCCAGACCACTAGGCTCTGCTGCTGGCAGCTGGCTCCAGGGGGAGGGCTGCCTGGAAATAACCCGCCGCTCAGCAGACTCCCACCGCCCTGAGCACCCGGGGCCAGGGGCTGAGGGCTGCCACACCCGGCCTGCTGAGCTGTGTGACTCACATCACTATCAGGTTAAACCACACTGAACTGCCGGCACCGACCACGTTTAAGCACACTGCGATTTCGCATGCTTCAACCGCTTATCATCATCATCATCATCATCATCATCATCATCATCTGGTTTAAGCCAGAACGGCTTGGGTTTCTGATACTTACAACCAGGGAAGCCCTGGTTAAGGACCTTCTGGCGGGGGCCTCCGTTTCCTCAGCTGTAGAATGGAGGGACACTGGAGGGTCCCTAAGCGGCTCTTCCAGGGCTAATGCTTTAGGGGTCAAGGTTTGAAGGTTCTGGGCTGGAGGATGGGGACCGAAGGAGTGGAGGGTGAGGCCCTAGCCGAGGTAGGGACTTTCCCAGAACGTGCAGATTACCGATGGCTGTGCCCAGCTCTTCGGAGTGATCTGTGACATCCTCTGTGTGTGTGTGTGTGTGTGTGTGTGTGTGTGTGTGTGTGTGTGTGTAATATTCTTTTATTGATTTCAGAGAGAAAGGGAGAGAGAGAGATAGAAACGTCAATGATGAGAGAGACTCATGGATCGGTTGCCTCCTGCAGGCCACCCACCAGGGATTAAGCCCGCAACCTGGGCATGTGCCCTTGACTGGAATCAAACCCAGGACCTTCAGTCTGCAGGCTGGTGCTCTAGCCGCTGAGCCAAACCAGCCAGGGGCCATCCTGTTGTGCTTCAACAGTCACAGTACTACGTGCTGATGTATGTAATAACATGTAAAACCCTAATATGTAAATAGACGGAACATGCCTAATATAAAGTGCAGGATGTAGATTAACTCAATTAATATTCATAACAACCCCTAAGGTGGTTCTAGGAAAAGGCCATTTTACAGACGAGGAAACAGACGCGCTGGGAAGGGAAGCCACTCGCCCAGGCCTCGCAGCCAGGAAGCGGCAGCACAGGGACCGCACCAGACCTCGCTCTCCTGCTGCCTCAAAAAGCTGCTGATGCCCCCCGGAGGGGTGGCTGGGAGGCTCCCCCGGGCCCTGTGCCCCGAGTCTGAGGTCTGAGGAGCTGGGCCCGCGCTCGCCGCCCCTCACCGATCCGCTTGGTGTCCCCGAAGTCCTCCTCCGGCTCCGTGTACGGCTTCAGCTCCTCGCCCTCATAGCCGATGTTGATCCATTTGTCTTTCATGATTTGCTGCAGGAATCGGAGCAGGGCAGGGAAGGGGAAGACACGTCAGGAGAAGCCAGGAACAAATAGAGGTTCCCACCCCCAAGGTCTAGCATCCCAGAATTGAGGGCTTCCTGAGAGTGAGCACCTCTTCACCCCATTTCCCGCCTCCCCCCCTCAACATCCCCCAGCCTCCAGATGCCACTCCCGCCCCCACATCATCTGGGTCCCAGCACGTTGTAATCATCCAAGAAGCTCATTAGCTAATTACTGGCGGGACAGACAGTGGGCGAGGCTGCTGGGGGTGCATCAGGATGGGTGCAGGCGCCTTTTCCTGGGCTGCCCGGCTCCCCCACCCTCCGGCGAGGACCTTAGTGGGCAGTGGGGAGAGGGCAGTGCAGGACAAGAAGGCACCGCAGGGCGCGGGGCCGGGCTCACCTCCAGAGTACAGCGTTTCGCCGGGTTCAGCACCAAGAATCTCCGCAGGATGCTCTCACAGTCCGTGGACATGTAGAAAGGGACCCGGTACTTCCCCCTGAGGACACGCTCCCGCAGCTCCTGAGGGAGGGCGGGCGGGCGGGGTTACCGGGGGAGGGTCCTCCCGCCTCCCCATCACACACACTCATCGCTCAGCTCGGCCGTCCCGGACAGAGTGACAGGAGCCCCGAGTCCCGGCCCTGAGGAGGTGGGTGAAGGCCCCCACTCCCTCCTGAACCCCGTTCCCCATCTGGGAGTGTTGTGCCACATGCAGCAATTTTCAAAGAAATATTACCAGTCTGAAGCTATATAACTCACTCAGAGGAAACCTGATGGAGGAAGTGAATTCTCTAAGCCAAGAGGTGGGTTGGCCTCTGGGCTCAGTCTGTCTGCAAAAGGGGTCCCAGCACCCGCTTCGGGGGCCGGGGTGAGTGAGTTTATGGCAGGAAGGGCCTAGCCCGCTAGGCCCAGAGCAGCCCTATGTACACATTAGGCTTATACAGGGGAGGGGGAGGGGGCTCCTGCCCACGCCCTCCAGCCCGGCCCCTTCCCCTGTCCCTCTGAAGAGCTCGGAGGCCCTGGAGGTCTCAAAGGATGAGCCTCTCAGCTGCTGACCTTTGAAAATGATTTTTTTTTGTTTTGTTAATCCTCACCTGAGGATATTTTCCCCACTGCTTTTCAGAGTGGAGGGGGGGCGGGGAGAAAGAGAGAAACAGATGTGAGAGAGACACATCAACTGGTTGCCTCCTACACATTTCCCAGTTGGGGGTGGGGGTGGGCCATGGAGGGAACCCACAACCCAGGTATGTGCCCTTGACTGGAAAGTTAGCCCGAGACCCTTTGGGGCACGGCCGGTGCTCTAACCAGTGAGCAACACTAGCCAGGGCTAAAATTTGTTTCAATGTATTGGTTGATTTTAAAGAGAGAGGAAGGGGAAGAGAAACAATTTGTTGCTCCACTTAGTTATGCATTCATGGGTTGATTCTTGTAAGCACTTTGACTGGGGATCGAACCCACAACTCTGCACACAGGGACGATGCTCTAACCAGCTGAGCTACCCGGCCAGGGCCACGCTGACCTTTTTAAGGGCTTGGGATGAGGAGCCCTAAGGTTGCGCAGGAGAAAACAAGTCCCCCGCTCCATGGCAAGGGGGGCCAGGGAGAGCCCGTTCCCGGTCCCGATAAAGAACTGTGGGGAGACCTGGGGGAGGGCGGGGCCATCTGCCGGGGGCCGGGCCGGAAGGGGGTGCGCCCGGGCAGCCTCCTGGGTCTGCAGATCGCTCCAGCCCCAAGGGTCGTGAATATTTCATCATCTCCGGGATCGCTTTCAGGCTCTCGCCGAGACGCAGCCCTCTGAGTGCTTCCCCAATGGCGCGTCTGTGCTCGGGGTGACGCTGTGGACGGGGTCACGAGGCTGTTCCAGACGAGCAGCCCGAGGCCCAGTGACGTGGAGCCACTTGCCTGGGACTGAACGACCAGAACGTGGCAGGCCCGGGTTCCAGCTCCGGAGCCTGCCCGTGGGACCACTGCCCCACACGGTCGGTCACATGGCGAGAACAGCCCTCGGGCCACAGCCACCACCACCGGAGCTGCCTGGTCCCGGGGCGGGCTCTGCGCCCAGGGTGGCTGTCATGGGTATTCTTTAAGTCCCCACCTGGAGGTTCGGAAAGGGATGTGTCTCGGTCATTCAGCAGGAAGTGACAAAGCCGGGACCTGTCCCCAGCTGTGTGCCTCCTCTGCCCGGCAAGGAGGTGGCAATGGCCTGGGGCAGGCGAGCCACTGGCCTGGTCCCTGGACAGGCCTTGGGCCCCGGCCGGTGGCCCAGTGGTTGGAGCGTTGTGGGTTAGATCCCCAGTCAAGGGCAGGCGCCTGGGCTGCAGGTCTCTCCCTGCCCATGGGATGGGGCTCACTCCCCGCGTGGTCCATGTGAGAGACACACCGATGTCTCTCCCGCCTCCTCCTCCCTCCCTCCCACTGTCTCTGAAAAGGCAACGGGAAGAATGTCCTCTGGTGAGGATGCTCCAGGAAGAGAGGAGAAGGAAAGGACTCCGGGCTTCCTGCTCGGGGCAGAAAGCTTATTCGGTGACAGCGAGCACTTTCCGGTGACAGCGAGCTCTTTCCGGTGACAGCGAGCACTTTCCGGTGACAGCGAGCTCTTTCCGCCTCGTCTCAGCGGGTGCTCGGGGCGCAGTCACCACAGTCCCCCCGAACGGAGCGCGGTCCCCCCCCCCCCCGAACGGAGCGCGGTCCCCCCTGAACGGAATGCGGTCCCCCCCGAACGGAGCGCGGTCCCCCCGAACGGAGCGCGGTCCCCCCCCCCCCCGAACGGAGCGCGGTCCCCCCCCCCCCCGAACGGAGCGCGGTCCCCCCCCCCCCCTGAACGGAGCGCGGTCCCCCCGAACGGAGCGCGGTCCCGCCCGAACGGAGCGCGGTCCCCCCCCCCTGAACGGAGCGCAGTCCCCCCCGAACGGAGCGCGGTCCCCCCCCCCTGAACGGAGCGCGGTCCCCCCGAACGGAGCGCGGTCCCCCCCGAACGGAGCGCGGTCCCCCCCGAACGGAGCGTGGTCCCCCCCGAACGGAGCGCGGTCCCCCCCGAACGGAGCGTGGTCCCCACCCCCTGAACGGAGCGCGGTCCCCCCCCCCTGAACGGAGCGCGGTCCCCCCCGAACGGAGCGCGGTCCTCCCCGAACAGAGCGCGGTCCCCCCCGAACGGAGCGCGGTCCTCCCCGAACAGAGCGCGGTCCCCCCCGAACGGAGCGCGGTCCTCCCCGAACAGAGCGCGGTCCCCCCCGAACAGAGCGCGGTCCCCCCCGAACAGAGCGCGGTCCCCCCCGAACGGAGCGCGGTCCTCCCTGAACAGAGCGCGGTCCCCCCCGAACGGAGCGCGGTCCCCCCCGAACGGAGCGTGGTCCCCCCGAACAGAGCGCGGTCCCCCCCCCCCGAACGGAGCGCGGTCCCCCCCCCCTGAACGGAGCGCGGTCCCCCTCCCCTGAACGGAGCGCGGTCCCCCCTGAACGGAGCGCGGTCCCCCCCCGAACGGAGCGCGGTCCCCCCCCCCTGAACGGAGCGCGGTCCCCCTCCCCTGAACGGAGCGCGGTCCCCCCTGAACGGAGCGCGGTCCCCCCGAACGGAGCGCGGTCCCCCCGAACGGAGCGCGGTCCCCCCCCCGAACGGAGCGCGGTCCCCCCCCCCTGAACGGAGCGCGGTCCCCCTCCCCTGAACGGAGCGCGGTCCCCCCTGAACGGAGCGCGGTCCCCCCCCGAACGGAGCGCGGTCCCCCCGAACGGAGCGCGGTCCCCCCCCCCTGAACGGAGCGCGGTCCCCCCCGAACGGAGCGCGGTCCCCCCCCCGAACGGAGCGCGGTCCTCCCTGAACAGAGGGGACAAGCTCAGAGGGGCCGCCCAGCCGGGACCACAGGGAAGGGTCTCCTCCTGCTGACGGCCTGTCCTCAGCCAGGGCTTCCGGGCTCCGGCCGCTCCTCCGGCCACGCTGAGCAGGGCCGGGCGTTTCTGCTGTGGGACCCCCACCCGGATCCAATGCAGAGAACACGCGGGCACCCACGGAGGCAGGTTCTGTAAGAAAACCGGCCGGAACCGGCCAGCAACGCCACGTGAGGAAGGACATAGAAGGCGGAGGAGCGGATCCCGACGGAAGGAGACCGAAGAGACAGGACCAGTGAGCCCACGCGGGAGCGAGCCGGGGGGATGCTGGGGCAGAACGGGGCTGCCGAGGATGTTCCCAGGACGACCGGTGAGCTGAGCACAGGCCCTGGGTCTGAGGCCGGATTTGCTGAGTGAAGGTGGACGGGAAGAGGCCTGGTCTCAGGAGCTACCTGCTGTGTGTTGCCTTTAGGGATCAAGGGTATTGTGCCTGTACTAACTCCCAAATCCCATTAGCAAGGAGGGTGACGATGACGTGCCATGAGCGCATACAGATACGCCAAATGGGCCAGAAGCCAGCGAGGGCGCATCTCCTGAAACCTGCCCCGGCCCCGGCACCTCTCTGTGGACGGGCAGCGTTTCAGAATGAACGGTTCAAAGAGGAAAGAGAACCACCGCGCTAAGCTCACCCCACACTCCCACCCGGCCCCCCAGCACCGCCGGCATCTGAAGTCACCTATGGCGCGTCTCTCTGTGGTTTTCGGCCTGGCTGTGCTGATGGAATGTCAGTCTGTGCGGGCAGGCTTTTTGTGTGCTTTAAGTGCACAATTCAGTGGTTTTTACTGCACTCTGAGTTGAGCAATCATCACCACAATCTATTTCAGACCATCTAATCGCCCCGAAAGAAACCGGAACCCTGCTCTCCAACTTCCCCATCCTCCCGTCGACGCAGGCAAACACTCCTCTGCTTTCTGTTCTGACGGACGTTTCCTAAGAGTGGAATCACGCGACGCGCGGACTGTTGGGACTGGCTCGTCCCGCTCAGCGTGTGCGCAAGGCCGGCCCGCGGGGCGACGCCTGCGAAGGCAGCGGTGTCTGCAGCACCCAGCACAGCCTGGCCCAGGGACAGTGGGCCACGGAAACGGACAGAGTGAGCCAGGATCTGAACCCCAGCCCGCCAGCTGCAAAGGCCCTGCCTTGACCCCAGACACAGCGTGGTCCCTCAGGGATGGCCACGTGGGTCCCGCCTGACCCCGGACTGCCACATGCCCCCAGGCCAGCTGTCCCCCTGCACGGGAGCCGTGCCGGACGAGGCCCAGACAGCCCCGCCCAGGAGAGGAAGGCCCGCCAGCCGCCCAGCACCTTGAGGTTGTGCCCGTCGAAGGGCAGGGAGCCGCTGACGAGGGTGTACAGGATGACGCCCAGGCTCCAGATGTCCACCTCCGGCCCGTCGTACTTCTTGCCCTGGAACAGCTCCGGGGCGGCGTACGGGGGGCTCCCGCAGAACGTGTCCAGCTTCGAGCCCAGCGTGAACTCGTTGCTGAAGCCGAAGTCGGCGATCTTGATGTTGGCCTCGGCGTCCAGCAGGAGGTTCTCGGCCTGGGAGGGCAGGAGAGGGCCCGGGGTGGGCGCGTGCGGTGGACGGGAGCGCGGGCGCTGGAGCTGGCCTACCCAGGCTGACTGTGGCCCAGCCCCGCCTCCCTGCGACCTCTCTGGGCCCTGATTTCCTCGTCCACAGAATGGGGATCATCACAGTCCCTACTTCAGAGAAGTGGGTTAACCTGTACAAAAGGCCTAGAGCCATATTTTGTGCCAGCTAAGCGCTATGTAAAGTCAGCTATCATTGTCCCCATGGTCTGCGGAGCTGGGGGTCCTCAGGCCAGCGCCTGTCCTTCTCCGAGCCTCAGTTTACCCAGCAGAAAAAAAGATGAGGACTGACTATTCAAGACCCATAAAATGAAAACAACCACTTTACCTGATACTCACTACACCCACGGCACACCCAGCGCTGTGGACTGTCATTTACTTTACGAGTGGCCGCATGGCACCGGGTTAGAGCACAGATGCCATCTCCGCCACTCCCGCTCTGTGTCCCTTTGGGTGGGTAGCCAGACTCCCCTGTGCCTCAGTTTCCCCGTGTAAGCTGAGGGTAACCACAGCACCCGCCTCCCAGGCGGCTGCGGGGTTGAGCACACAGCACCTACCACAGTGTGAGGGACATAGCACTCACACTTTTCATACAGTTACGAGGTTTGGTCTGTCTCCTGTAATCGCCATTTCACAGTCGAGGAAACCGAGGCTCAGGGAGACCACCTCGTGTCCACAGCCACAGCGGCGGAGAGGCCTGGCCTCCCTCGCTGAGCGTGGAAGGAGCCGCAGCACCCGGCTCTCTGGCTTTGTGACTAACCTCAGCGCACAGCACCACCTTCAAAAGGCTGCCCGTGTGGCCCGTCCCAACCACAGCCCTGCCCTGGCCAGGCCTCCCCACCTCCTGCTGAAGTTTGGTGGCCCCTTCCCCACCTCTGACCCAACACGTCACAAACCCACATCTCAGAGACTCCTCAACCTCAGCCCAGCTCTGAGGTGGCATTGCCCCTGGTGGCGTTTGAAGCTCCACAGGCCAGCCCCTGTGCTGGGCTGGGCTGGGCTGGGCGTCCCTCTGGTGCACTCATCACGTCCTGAAATCCCCTTTGGTAGCCACTTCTAGTACCCTCCACCAGGGGGCGCGCCTCCTCCAGGTTCATCTTCACAGGCACCTAAAGGTGCTTCCTCTGAGGGGAGGGGGGACTTTGGGGCAGCAGAGAGAAGGGGCTTTTAGAAACCTCTCCAGCCACATGACAGTGGAATTTTATGTTTTTTGAATCTAATAATTTAAAAAATTGGGCTTGTATTTTGTACACGTTTTCATTTGCATTGTACTGTACAAGAGTACCTGTCCGCACGGATAGGGAAACAGAGCTGGACCCTTACTGAAGAGCCTTGCGAAGCACTCCCTTACAGCACAGGGCCTGGCACATAGTAGGTGCTCAAGAAATCAGGCAAGCCGCTCTAGTCGTTTATCTCTCTGGTCTAAGACAGAAGTCCTGACCTGTGAGGTCGTCTGGGGTGGGAGGTGTGGAACGGGGCCCAGAGCTACGAGGGGCTGCCCCTCCCAGCTCCTGAGTCCCTCCCCCGCCGGGCACTAAGCCTTGAGGGTTCTCATACAAGGTCCTTCTCTAACCCAAGGATGCCTGGGAGATGAGACCTGGAGGCAGGGTGACGGTAGGGCTTTGAAATCTCAATTCTCAGATTCCCGAATGTTCTGAAGTCTGAGAGCCAAGCTCTGCGAGCGGCGGACTCCCTCTCGCCAGTGTCCTTGTCCAGGACGCACGCACGTAACACAACAGCGGCGTCTAGGACACTTTGTTTCTTCCTCTTTGTTTGTTCCTCCTGGCCCCACCCTCCTCTCGCTCCCCCATCTGCTGGCCTTGCTTTTGCCACAAAAGGCTTGGGACAAAGGCCAGGGCCCTGGGTGCTGAGGGAGGAGCCTGAGGAGAAAGGGGTGGCTGTGGTAGAGAGTACAGGCCAAGCCCGGGGACCGGAGGTGGGCTGAGCTGGGAGCTGGGGGCGGGGGGCTCACCTTCAGGTCCCTGTGTACAATGTTTTTCTGGTGACAGTAGTGCACAGCCGATACAATCTGGGGGAAGAGGGGGGAAGGTCAGATACTTGAGGCCCCAAGCCCCCCAGCTTCCCTCAGAGACCCTGTGAGCCCACTCACAACCGAGGATCCGGACCCCAGGCCCCCTAGGCCCAGGCCCGGATGCTGCGGCCTCACACCCCGACTCAGTCCCAGCAGGTGTGAGACCTGCAGGCTCACACCTCCACTCGGACACCCCGACCCTCACCGGCAGATGGCAGGACGCCCTCCGGGCAGGGACATGGAGCGGCACATGGGGACGAGCCCCGCCCACTTGCACATCTGGACACGTGCCTGCAGCTGGGCCTGGGCCCCATGTCCCGGGAGCTGTGTCAGGACTGCTGCACGTCACGGGCTGACACCCTCACTCAGATCCCTCTACCCATCAAACCTCACCCGCTAAGCACCTAGCTACCGGGCACCCTCACACCTGCATGCCTTTTCCCCAGCACCCCGGCACCCTCACACCTGCACGCCCTCTTACATGCACCCCATTGCCACATACACCCCACTGCCATACACCCAGACAGCAACACCTTCTTATGCACCTGGACGTCCCTACACCATACACTCCTGTTCACCATCCTACGTACCCACACCTGGGCCCCTCTCACCCATACACCCAGGCTGCCGGGCACCCACATACCTAGTTCTCACACATCTTCAAATCCACACCCCTCCACGCACACCTCGGCACCTGGCACCTCCAGGTCCACACACCTGGGCACACCCTCGCACCCACATACCTGATACCTGCACACCTGGCACCCTCCTGCCTGCCTCCCCCCCCGCTGAACTGGGCACCTGCACACCTACACCTGGGCATCTTCACACCTGGCCGTCTGCACACCCATGGACACCCAACTCTCTGCCTCACCCCCACTCAGACTTCAGCTATTCCACCCCCCTCACCACCCCCCGCCCCCCATTGGACAACCCAGGCCCACACCCAGCAATCACTCATCCCCAGGGACCCCACCCAGGCCGCCCACAGCTGTAACCCCAACCTGGCGGAACTTGGCCCGAGCTTCCTTCTCCTTCATGCGGCCGTGTGACACGAGGTAGTCGAATACTTCTCCTGCAGGGCAGAGGCCGGGGGTGAGGGGGGGGTGTGGAGGGGCGCAGCAGGCGGGGCGGGGCGGGGCAGGGCGGGGCCTCACCAGCACTTGCATATTCCATCACCAGGTACAGCGTCTTCTCGGTCTCGATCACCTCGAAGAGCTTCACTGCAATGACCGGGGGGAGGGGGTGGGGGGGGCGGTTATGCAGGAAGGGACCCCGCCATCCACCCACACTTGTAACTGTGGATGTGCTGAGCCACGACACCCCTCACTCAAGAACACTCAATGGCTCCCTATTGATGGCAAGATTTTTCCGCTCCTCAGTCTCACGTTACACCTTTTACATATTCTCCCATAAGCATGTCAGCGCAGCTCCACGTGGCCAGGGATCTGGGCCTGTTCTCTCCACCCCTGTTTCCCCAGCACCTGGCACACAACGGCCGCACAATGGATATTTACTGAGTGAGAAAGCTAAGGGTGAATAAGTGGTGCGGCCACATCCAGGCCAGGCCAAACCCCCTTCTCGGTAACGAGCCCTCTCTCTCCCCTTTGCCTGACGACAATGACAATGGCTGCCACTGATGGCAACAATCAGACCGGCTCCCGCAGCTTAGCTCTGAACTAAGATTGTGCACAATCTTATCCAATCCTCACAAGGACCTTGACGAGGGCCCGTGTCGCCCCCGCTGCAGGGAGGACACTGATGCTCAGAGAGGTTCAGTGACTTGGCCAAGGCCACAGAGCCAGCGAGCAGAGAACCGCTGTCTAACATTATAACTGCCAATCCCGCCACACCCTGACCCTCCTCTCTGATCCCCCCCCCACCCCCCCACCTCCTCACCGATGTTGGGGTGGTTTAGGCCCTTCATGATGCGAACTTCTCGGAACAGCTGGAAGAAAGGGAGAGGGAGGTGGTGAGTGGTCCTGAGCACCCTCTCCCCAGCCTCACCCTCACGCTGCTCCCCGTCCCGGGCCTCACCTTCTGCAGGCTGCTGGGGTTCAGCTGGGTTTTGTCGATGATTTTGATGGCAACCTGGAGGTGAAAGAAGGGGCGAAGGTCAAGGTACCCCAACTCAGGTCACCTGGGATGTCCCTCCTTTAACCCCCTCACTGAGAAACCTCCCCCTGGGCCATTCCCAGTGGATAGGGAGCTGGGCCCCAGGACCTTTGCATGTGCTGCTCCTGCCGTGCCCAGTGCTGCCCTGACTTTCATAAGGAAACACTCCTGATGTGCAGGGAGGCCGGACGGGGCTGCCCCAAGGCCTGTGTGAGTGCGACAGAGACTTAAGGGGGACCTCTGCGAGGGCATCTCAGAACACCCCTCCATCCCATCTTCCTTTTATCTTATTTATTTATTTATTTTTTAAATATATATATATTTTATTGATTTTTTACAGAGAGGAAGGGAGAGAGATAGAGAGCTAGAAACATCGATGGGAGTCATCGATCAGTTGCCTCTTGCATGCCCCCTACTGGAGATGTGCCCACAACTAAGGTACATGCCCTTGACCAGAATGGAACCCGGGACCTTTCAGTCCACAGGCCGACGCTCTATCCACTGAGCCAAACCGGTTTGGGCCCATCTTCGTTTTAAATGTGCAAACTGGGGACCAGTAACCAGCAACTGAAGCTAACTTTACCAGCCAGCCACGTGTGCATTAGAAAAGGGAACTCTTCTAGTCCTCACAGAACCCCTGTGAGAGCTGAGATGACTCTCGCTTTACAAATGGGGAAACTGAGGCACAGAGTTGTTCAGTTACTTGGCCACGGTTATGCACCTAGTAAGTTTGGAGGCTGGGGTCTGAACGTACGTAGCCTGACGGAGTCTACCTCTTAAACATTTAGAACTACATACTGTATGCACGTTTATAACTTTACAAGAACTTTGAGCTGAGACCTGTTTGGCTCAGTGGATAGAGCGTCAGCCTGTGGACTGAAAGGTCCTGGGTTCGATTCCGGTCAAGGGCATGTACCTTGGTTGCGGGCACATCCCCAGTAGGGGGTGTGCAAGAGGCAGCTGGTAGATGTTTCTCTCTCATCGACGTTTCTAGCTCTCTCTCTCTCTCCCTTCCTCTCTGTAAAAAATCAATAAAATATATTAAAAAAAAGAAAAAAAAAAAGGACTTTGAGGTGGTCATCATGTAGGAGGATCAGACTGTCAGTGAGCTCTCCTGTATTTATCGTGTAGCTGAGGTTTTATTCTGAGTCACACCTGGGAGGGAGCACCAGGTCCTGCCAGTGAGGGCCCTCTCAGTCTTACCCAGCTTTACGTCTACAGTTTCTTCCTTTCTTTCTTTCTCTTTCTTTCTTTCTTTCTTTCTTTCTTTCTTTTTTTAATATATTTTATTGATTTTTTACAGAGAGGAAGGGAGAGGGATAGAGAGCTAGAAACGTCAATGAGAGAGAAACATCCATCAGCTAGCTGCCTCTTGCACAGCCCCTACTGGGGATGTGCCCACAACCAATGTACATGCCGTTGACTGGAATTGAACCTGGGACCTTTCAGTCCGTAGACCGATGCTCTATCCACTGAGCCAAACCGGTTTCAGCACGTCTACAGCTTCACAAAGGGTTTCGGGGCCACCCCAGGCCCCCTGGGTTCCAAGTCTTCCCCCGGGAGGCCCTGTTCCCTGAGGCCGGTCCTCTGGGAAACCCCGGATCCGTGTTCAGTTCCACAGGCGGGAACGGCGTGTTCTGTGTGGGGGAGAGGGTCCCTGGCTTCCCTCAGAGTCTCGAACGGGCTTTCAGTTTGTCAAACATCTTGCACGCCAATACGGGGACGATCATATGGCTTCTCGCCTTGAATCCGCGGATGTGGCGAAATCCATGAATAAATTGTGCATCTGCAAAGAACTGTGCATTCCTGGGCCGAGCCCAGCTTCGTCACCACACGGCTTCCTGACTCCCGTGCCTCTGCTGGCAGCGAGGCCGGCGACACGGGCTGCGCGGCTGCTTTTGCGATGGCGGTGGAAGGCACAGTGGACATTCGCTGGGCAGCGGCAGGACCGGCGCAAGGCGGGCACGTTGGCTACAATTTGCCCATAAAGCCGCGGGGGCCTGGTGTCTTCCCTGCTTGCAGCACGGACAGGGAAAGGGCAGGCGGGTTCGTCCGAGGCGTGAGGCGCGAGAAATCACGCCCATCGTTTGCTTAAAATGGGAGGCGGTGCAGGGGAGTCGTGAGCCCACCCCCGCCTTCTCTCCGCTGAGAGTGAGCAGGTGCCCCCGCTGCCCGGGCCCTTTCTGCAAGAATGTTGCCACACTTAGGGGAGGAAGGGAGAGTGTGTACTTGAGAACGCCAAGGAACCCCGTGTCCTCCGGATCCCTGGGAGATCTGCTGGAACCCAAGCCCAACGTTCTTTTAAAGCTATAAACGTGCACACAGTATGTATAATAGTTCTAAATGTTTCAGAGGTAAGACTCCGCCAGGCTACATACGTTCAGACCCCAGCCTCCAAACCTACTAGGCGCATAACCTCGGCCAAGTAACTGAACAGCTCCGTGCCTCGGTTTCCCCATTTGTAAAAGTGGGGGGGTCATTAAAACAGGGAGGCGGCCCTGACAGTCTCGGGGATGCCTGAGATGGGCCCTCTTCTCCTGACCGGGGCTGTTCTGGAAAAGTCTGAGATGTTGTGATCTGACCTGAGGAGAGGCAGAGACGTCAAGGAAAACGAGGGTCCAGCCCCCCCGCGCCCCAGCACCCACAAAGCACAGGGGCTGCGGCCTGGGGCCCAGCCGCCCCGCCCCCCGTCCCCTCACTCACCTCCCGGCCCGTGAGGATGTGCCGGGCCAGCTTGACTTTGGCAAAGTTGCCCTTGCCGATGGTCCTCAGCAGGCGGTAGTTGCCCACGTGGGGCTGCTCCTCGGGGCAGGAGGCGATGGAGTTCCGGCAGCGGGCACCCAGGGACCGGCTGGACCAGGACGGCCCCTTGTCCGAGGAGCGGCTACTGCCCAAAGTGCCATGCTGGGGGGAGACGGAGCGTGAGCGCTGGGGCACCCGCCCCATCCACCTTCGGCGGAACCGGCGCCGGCGTGGTTAACTCCGGCCACGGCCACTCTGCGCCAGGGAGGGCGAGCCGCCGTGGGCCTCCCTCTCTACAAAAGGATCCTCCCAGAACAAAGCCGCTGGGCACCCGCCAGCGCGGCCGCCTCCAGGTTCCCAGACGCCAGGCCTCTTCTCGGCCCTCCCTGTGGTCGGTCTGCCCAGACTTCCCCTGCTACTGGGACCCCCCACCAGCTCTGTAATATCTCATCCCAATGCCGCAGCCCTCACCCCAGTCAACGCTGACCTCAGCCTGGTCTCAGCTCTCACCCCACCCTCACTGCCTCCAGCATTGCTTTCCTATCACCGTCCCCATGCCACCCCAATTCTATCCCAAACCCAAGTGTCAATATTTTGTTCCCAGTTTAGCTCCCCTAACCATTTCTTCGGATCTCAGATTCAACTCCAAACACAGCCACCAAGTGTCTTTCGTTCTGCCCTGATGTCGCTCTAGCCCCACTGTTGCCTTCCTTAAAAACATTCTTGTTCCCTCCCTCCCCCTCCCCCACAGCATGGTGGCTCCCTTCGAGCCTGACCCACTGCCTCCCCCACTTCCCTCCTATCTGTCCCGACACTCTGTTCCTGCCGTCCTGCCTCTCCCGGCTGCAGGTCACCCGCGAGCCAGGGCGGCCCTGTCCTGATTGTGAGCCGCATGGACAGTGCCTCCCTTTCAGGGCTGGGGCCCAGGGCGCAGGCGACAGAGGCAGCCACAGGCTCCAGCCACGCCGACTCTGCTCGGGCCCTGTGCCCTGCTCAGAGCGCTGAGGAAGAGGAGGACAGGTGGGAGACCAGATGAGGGCCCGGGGCTGCTCCGTGGAGGATGATGACCAGTACGTAATGAATGCTGGCCACTAATGCATCATCACCCCATTTTCCCCAATGGGGAAACTGAGGCCCGGAGCCTGGATCTGAGCCCAGACAGTTCCCCCAGAGTTTGACGTTCTTCCCCATCACTAAAACCTTGCGTCTCACACAGCCCCGCTGTTTTTATTAAGCAGCGTTCCTGGGGCCAAGGCCGGGGCCCGTACACACCTCATCTACATTAATCCCCAGAGCCCAGGAGGGCCGCGCCTGCATCCTCTTACTCCAGAGGAGAGACTGAGGCTAGGGGAGAGACGGTGCCTCGTCAAGGTCACACAAGAAGCAGAAATCTAATGTTCCCCCACCCGGGGCAGAACGAAACCACCCTGCTAATGCCCTGGCTCCAAGGCGGGTCCGTTTAGGATCAGCATTCTGCACAAAGGGACCCCAAGGCCGAGACAGGGTCAGTGTCTTGCCCAAGGTCACAGGGCAGGGGGAGCAGAGCACCTGGGATCCAAACCCGGGCCTGAGGACTCCTGCGTGCTGAGCTCTTTCCCACAGCCCGCTGGGCTGCTCCCAGCCCTGGGCCCCTCCTGGGGGAGGCAGGAAGGAAAGTGGAGATCCCCGCTGATAAGGCCCTGATCCCCGCCGAGATAACAGCTTGGAGAAGAATCCCCATCAGGTGGCACAGGGGAGCCAACGGGATGTGGGCTGGCACCCCACTGCAGGCAGTGCTGGAGGGACCCCTGCAAGGGGCAGCTGGGGCAGTGGGTGCCAGAGCCCCCAGGGGCCGGGGGCGGGAGCTAAAATTGGCTGGCACCACCAGCTGGCCCGGCTCCCTCCCGCCGGCTGGCGCCCCAACACTGGGGCCTGTTGCTAGGGAACCTCCAGAGAGGCTGGGGGGTGGAGGGCCTGAAACTTGGGGTGGGGTAGCATGACCCCACATGGCTATCAACATGGTAAACCCGTGGCAGGAGAGGGCACTGCAACCTCAGATTCCAGAGGGAGAGACGTGACCCCGGCCAGGACTGACAACAAGGGAAGAGAGGAGAGAAGGGGATTGGATTTCCCCAAATCCCCCCTGTGCATAGATCTGAACAATAAAAGGAGGAAGCACTCAGATGAGGCCCATTTCACAGATGAATAAACTGAGGTCGGGAGAGTTGAGGTCACTTGCCTGACCTCACACAGTTAGGGAGAGATAGAAACTAGATTTGAACCCATGCTTATCTAAATAATCAAAGTAATAGTCATAATTAATAACAGCAGCTATAACCTTGACCCTGACCGTTTTACTTACATAATCTCCTTGGTTCCTTAAAACATCTCTAAAGGAAGGTGCTATCATCAACCCCATAGAGACATAAAGAAACTAAGACTTGCCCTGGCTGGTTTGGGTCAATGGATAGAGTAGGGGTGTCGAACTCAATCAGAGAAGGGGCCAAAATCTAAAATCCAGCCTAAATCGCGGGCCGAATGGTTTACTGAACAGTCATAAACTGTCATTGTGATGGAAACGCAGCGGAGTGCAGTGATGACAGCGCGGTGCGGGCCACATTGCAAGGCCTGGCGGGACGGATTTGGCCCTCGGGCCTTGTGTTTGACACGTGTGGGACAGAGTGTGGGCCTGGGGACTAAAAGGTCCTGAGTTCAGTACCAATCAAGGGCACATGCCCAGGTTGTGGGCTCGATTCCCAGTCGGGGGCGTGCAGGAGGCAGCCGATCAATGATTCTCTCTCATCGTTGATGTTTCTATCTCTTTTCCTTTCCCTCCCTCTCTGAAATCAATAAAAAATATATTAAAAAAAAAAAAAAAGTAACTAAGGCTCAGCCCTTGCCAGGTATTCAGCTGGTTAGAGCGTTGTCCTGGTATGCCAAGGCTGTAGGTTGTAGGTTCAATCCCCGGTAAGGGTGCGTTCATTTGCAACCAACAAATGCAAGACTAAGTGGGACAGCAAATAGATGTTTCTCTTCCCCTCTCTCAGATCGATCAATAAGAATTTAGAAATATATAAATCACAGAAGCGGAGGCTCCGGGCAGGGAGTGGATCTCTGAGCTCACGCACAGGGCTGGGAACCCACGGCCATCTGACTCATCCCCACAGTCACAATAGTGGGAGCACGTGCGGAGCGAGCGTGTCCTGTGTGCCGGGCTTTACCCGTGTCACCCCAGTAATCCTCTGACTCAAGAGATCACCCCCACTTCCCGGGGCAGCCAACTGAGTCTCCCTGAGAGGGAGGAGCAGGAGTCGAGGACACAGGCACACCAGCAGGCAGGGCCAGCGTTTGAACCCAGGCCTGTGGGCCCCCTGGCACTTTTTGTCGTGACTGGGGGTGGGCTGAGGGGGGGAGGGGTATCTCATGGGAGACTCCAAATCAGAGTCTGGCCTACGGGATGATGGGATGATGGGCGGCAGTGGTGGCGGCCGTCTCGGTGGGGGAGGGTCCTGCAGGGTGCAGCAGCAGAGAAAACCTGTCTGGCAGGGACCAGGAATGAGAGGGGCTGGGGGAGCAGGGGCCTGTCAGACGGCCTGGGGGAAAGGGACAAAAACCCCAGATGGCGGAGTCTGGCACTGGTTGGAGGGAGGGTCTTTAGAAGGCAATCAGAAGCCAGGGAAATGGGGAGGAGGGTACCTCCAGGATTGCTCTGGGCTGTGCTATAGGGACAGGGGGCCTGGGGGTGATAGGAAGGGTGCAGGCTATGGGGCAGGGGCAGTGAGGGGCCATGAGGGGCCAAGGACCCCTGGGCCAGGGGCCGGAGTCTTGAGGAAACTCCGAGAAGTCCAAGAAGGGTTTTGTAGGAACAAGGTCTGGGATCCGCAAGTCCTGGGCAAGAGGGGGCAAGGCTGAGCCTGGGGGGGCCAGTGGGCCTAGAAACCTGAGGAGAAAGACTTCCTGAAGACACGACAAGAGAACTGAGAGCCAGGGCCAGGCCAGAGGCTTGGAGGCCAGGAGACTTCTGGAAGGAGGGCCTGGGGTCAGGCCTTGGGGGCTGGGGAGACCTCCAGAGCTGGGAGAGGGTTTTCCTGCGAGGCCAGACCCCCTGGGGGAAGAGGCCCTGAGGCAGGAGGTTAGGGAAGAGATGGTGTCCTGCAGGAAGGGCCTGGAATAAGCGGGCCCCAGGGGCTGGGGGCCTGCCTAAAGCGGAGGAGCTGGCAGACGGAGGTGAGGCCTGGAGTCGGACTGGTCCGGGCCTAGAGATCCCGGGCTGGGCTGGGGGCCTGGAAGTTGGAGGCCAAGGCTTCCTGGGGGAGGAAGAGACCAGGAGGGTCCGGGGGCTCTGGGGGGCCCCGGGGTGCTGGGAAGCCAGAGGCAGGGCTGCCTGGAGGACGGGCCCAGGCCTGGGAGTGGAGAGACCTTGAACGAGCTGGGAAGGGCCCTGGGCCCAGGAAAGGTGGAAACCGGCTTCCTGTGAGGGGGTGCCCGCAGGAGCCAGGAAAGGCGGAGGGCAGGGAAAGAGAGGAGGGGGGCTCCTGGGGAGTCCGGGACGCAGATCCGGCCGGAAAGGCCGGAGCCAGAGGCAGGACCGGGCCGGCCTTCCTGCGACAGGACCCGGCAGGGCTGGGCCCGGGGTCAGGAGCCTGCAAATCCGGGAGGAGGCTCGGGGGTCGGAGGAGGGCGGCCCGGAGGGGAAGAAGGGGCTCGGGACGCGCCGGGAAAGGGGGTGGGGGGGCTCCTGCAGCAGGGGAGGGGCTCCCGGAGGGCAGAGACCCGGCGGGAGGGATCTGCAGGGGGACGGGGGTCCCGGGAGAGGGGCGCCCCGGGCGTCGGGCAAGGCTGAGGGGGGGGGAGGTCCAAAGTCCGGGAAGTGCGGCGGGGTCGCAGGCGGCGCGCCGGCAGGGAGAGGGGAGAGGGTGAGGCTCGCGGGGCCAGGGGCTCCGCGGGCGAGGGGCCGGCGGCCAGCCCCGCCGGGCTCCCCCGGGGGCCAGCCCTCACTCACCGTGTCCGAGTTCCGATCGTTGCCCGGGGCCAGCGCCGTCCGCGAAGACATTTTCTCCGGGTCCCGGGGGACTGGGCGGCCGGGTGGGGGGGGCAGGGGTGCCGGGGACCCCTCCTCCCCTCCCCCCCCGCCGGCCTGAGGGCACGAGCTCCGAAGCTGGGTGCCGCGAGCGCCCGGGTCCCCGCGGCGGAGAGGGGGCAGGCGGGGGCCGCGGGCGCCGGGGGTCCTAGTGGCCCCGCGCGGAGGGGGCCCGGGGCGCCATCGGGGCGGCGGGCGGCGGGCGGCGGCGGGCGGGGGCCGGGGAGGGGGCGCGGAGCCGGCGGGGCGGCGGCGGCGGCGGGGCCGGAGGAAGGGACGTCAGGGGGAGGGGCGGGGCGTGGTCGCCTAGGCCCCGCCCCCGGCGCCGCCCTTAAAGGCGCAGGTCGCGGCGGCCGCGGGCTCCGGGGGCGGAGGCAGGTCTGAGCGCGTCGGTGCGCGGCGTGTTCTCACGGGAGCGGAGCGGCTCCCCGGAAGGGAAGGGAGCGGAGCCGGGGCGGCGCGCCAGGGACGCAGAGGAGGAGGACGCGCAGAGGGAGACGCAGAAAGAGACAAGAGAAAGGGAGAGGGAGACATAGGGAAGGAGAGGCGCACACACACAAAGAGACACAGAGACAAAGGCTGAGACCCGCCCGCGGAGACAGGGAGAGACAGGAGGGGACAAAGAGATGATGCGCGAGGACGCGAAGCCTCGTGCAGGGATGGAGGTACCGGGAAGAGGCAGGAGCCCCCGAGGCAGGAGCCAGGCGGATGGCGCGGCCCGCCTTCTCCCTCCCACCCGGTCCGGGGCCCCAGGAAGCCCTCGGGGGACTTGGGGCTCCAGGGTCTGGGGAGACGATGTTCCGGGCGGGGCCCCTGCCCGGAGTGACCCCCCGCCTCCCAGAAACCCCAGGCCACCAGGTTTGGGGCGGGGGCGGTGGTGGTGGGGGGACAGTCTCCTCTCCTCTGCGCGCCTCCAGGGTCCGGGACGCTCTGTCCTCCAGGACAGGCATCTGCCTGTTCGGGCCTGGGTTTCCCGTCTGCAGAGTGACCGCGGGTTGCCTTCCTGGCAGGGCCGAGGCGCAGACGCTCTCCTGAAGGATGAACTGAACCCACAGCCGGTGAGGACCAGCCATGACCTCTGGACCAGAATGGGATGGAAGGAAGAGGGCCGCGCACAGTCCTGGCTCCAGATTCACACAGCCCTTGGGCGGGGAGTCCCCGCCCCGCCCCTATCTAACCTGCTTCTTGCACCTCAGTTTTCCTTTCTAAAGAATGGGTGTGATGCTAACCGCGCTAAGAGGGAGCTGGCTCAAGCGAGCTGACTGTTCACGTCGCAGGAATTTTGGAACTGGTTGTTAAATAGTCATTATTAAAAACGAAATTGTGCAAAGGTACAATTAAAGTGTATGTAAAACAAAGGTAATAAATACTCGTCGCACCTAATTGTTTTACTAGTACGATGATCTGTGATCCTGAGGTCACTTACATCGATTGCATCTGCATAGTGAAAGTGTTGTATAATGAACCGCTGAGCATCTCGTCCCTCCAACAAATACACAGTCAGTTATGGCACCTGGAAGTCAGCCATGGTGGGAACGTTTACACCACGGAAATTGGCAAATGCTACTCATTGAGACTCCTTACCACCATCCCCTAAGAGCTGCTTGTTGTTTTTTTAAAATATATATTTTATTGATTTTTTTACAGAGAGGAAGGGAGAGGAATAGAGAGTTAGAAACATCGCTGAGAGAGAAACATTGATCAGCTGCCTCCTGTACACCCCCTATTGGGGATGTGCCCTCAACCAAGTTACATGCCCTTGACCAGAATCGAACCTGGGACCCTTCAGTCTGCAGGCCGACACTCTAGCCACTGAGCCAAACCGGTTAGGGCAGGGCTTCGTGTTAAACATTTACCAGCCTATCCCTGGTGGATACTGTCAGCTCCATAGACTCATAGAGGCTTCCTCCGTGCCGGGCTCTGCGGGCTTTATCCTTTCTCACCCCATGAGGCTGCACCATCGTTGTGAACCCCGTTTACAGATGGGGGAACGAAGCCCAAAGGAGAACAAGCAGATGCCCAACACAGCTGGTCAGTTGCAGGGCTGGGACTTGAACCCAAGCGCCTCCAAACTCCAGAATTCGGGCTCTTCTTTTTAAAAAAAATATTTTTTATTGATTTTTTACAGAGAGGAAGGGAGAGAGATAGAGAGCTAGAAATGTCGATGAGAGAGAAACATTGACCAGCTGCCTCTTGCACATCCCCTACCGGGGATGTGCCCGCAACCAAGGTACATGCCCTTGATTGGAATCGAACCCGGGACTTTTCAGTCCGCAGACCGACACTCTACCACTGAGCCAAACCGGTTTTGGCCAGAACGAGGGCTCTTAACCACTGTGGTTACTGTCCTTGAATAACAATATTGCAGCCTCCGTCTGCGATAAATTAATTAATGAGACTCTGTAAGTAAAGTGCTTCACCTGGGAAGCAAAGAGACCTTCATCAGTGGGAGGCGTTACTATTATTATTCAGCAAATGGAGCCCGAGGAGTCTCAGGGATGGTGGGAGGCAGAGAGGGAAGGGTTCAGGATTGTTTAAAATATTTGAAATCACAAAGGCTCTGCTCAGTGAGAAGTGGGGACTTGGGAATGGGTTGGGGGAGCTGAGTCACCCTTAATCCCTTCCCAAACTTGGCACAGGGAACTGCAGTTCTTCCATGCACCACACGGGGGCAGAAGATCACCTTCCTACACACGCAAGGTCCCACCGTGGCTCCTCACCCGAAGATATTTTCCCACTGATTTTCAGAGAGATTGGAAGAGAGAGGAGGGGAAAATGTATCTGGAATTAGACTGTGGTGATAGTTGCCATAACTTTGAGAATATACTAAGACCCACTGACTTGTACACTTTAAAAGCTGAATTTATGGCATGTGAATGATATCAATAAAAATTAAATGTGAAAAAGTGAGAGGGAGGTCTCACAGTGATCACAGCGCCTAACAGGCCGTTGGTCCCAGCCTGGGCCTCCCTCCTCTCATCACCACAGGCCCAAGGCTCCTTCCCCCCCCCCGCCCCCCCCATCACCCAAAGAGCATCCACTGATGAACCAGGAGGTCAAGGTTTGATTCCTGGGCAGAGCACGTGCCAGGGTTGTGGGCTCAACCCCCAGTAGGGGGCGTGCAGGAGGCAGCCGATCAATGATTCTCTCTCATCATTGATTTTTTTTTTTCTGGCAAACCCAGTTGGACAGAGGCCTGCAGACTTTGGAAGCTGGACACCCGGCCTGCTTCTCCCAGCCGCTTGTCTCCGGGGCCCTCCCGGCTGGGGCTGAGAGAGGAGCAGAGACCCTGAGCCCAGCTCCTGACCATAATGCTGATCCCAACCCCAACGTTGCCTCGGCACCTGGGACGCTGTGCCTGGGCCCCCCAAAGGCCACCTATGCCTAAAGCCCACCCTTAAAAGTACCCCTAATCCTGCATCTAACCTCACCCAACACCCAACTCATCTTCAACCCCCACTGCACCTGCCACCCCAGCCTCGGCCTCCACTCTGACTTCTTCCCACCTGTGAGCCCGGCTCACTCATTTGGACGGAGCAGCTACTCTGTGCGGGGCACACGTCTGGGGGCGCAGAGATGAACCCCAGCCCCTCTGCTTTGAGTTTACATTCCAGTAGGAGAGTCAGAGAAGCCACAGGGGAGTCTTACTGGCTCCGACCTTGACCTCGGAAGGCGCGATGAAGAAATCGGCCAGTCAGCCGCGCCCCTGATTGGGGGGACGAGGGGGTAGTGCCGGACAACAGAAGTGCTTTGGCTGTTGGGGGCCTGTCTCCTTGGAGGAAGGGACGCAGAGCGGAGAGCAGGATGACAACAAAGGAGGGGCCGCGCGGAGCCGGAGGGCAGGGGCTTTGGCGGGTGAGGTTGGATGCAGGATTAGGGGTACTTTTAAGGCTGGGCTTTAGGCTTAGGTGGCCAGGGCCAGTATGCAGGCCTCCAGGCCCGGCCTCTGGGCCCAGCAGAACCTTCCTCCTTGTCTTCGCCCCACAGCAGGAAGCCCAGAGCGAGCGCTGGGCCCCCGTCCAGCAGGGGGCGTCTCCCCGGGCGCCCAGGATGGTGTTGTCACCTTGGGAGGCGTGAAGAGCAGGCAGGGAGGGGGGTCCCATTCCGGCGGGGCCGGGGGAGGGTGGGGGCCAGACCGCAGCCTGGCCTAAAAGGGCAGACAGATAACGAGTCCTTCCCACCCCCGGCCCCAGGGAGGGAGGGGTTTCCTGACAGGAAATTGACCTCCTCTAACCCCCCCTCCTCAGATCCAAGCTCTTAGCAGTCCTGGCTGAAGTCGCTCAGGACAGGACAGGACAGCAGCAGGGACAGAGGGACACGGCTCCGCGGACAGAGGTGAGTGTGCTGGGGCGCTGGGCAGGGGTAGGGCGCGCGGCCCTCCAGGAATCCAGACCAGGGTTCGGGAGAAGATGTGTTCTGAGGCCAGGAGAAGCGGGGCAAAGGGAGAAGCTGGAGGCTGGTCTCCGCAGGGTGCCAGCGAGCGGGCAGGGGGAGACGGATGGACGGAGCAGCAGGAGGGTGCAGGGGAGCCTGGGGGTGCAGAGTCTGCAAGGCAGTGGAGGACTTGGAACTGAGCGAGAAGAGGTGAGCAGATGTGGCCGGGTCTGCCGTCCGGGTTCAGGTGGGAAGGCCGAGGCCAGGGCGGGAGGGAGTTTCGCTCGGTCCCTAAGGGACGGTCTAGGAGATGGGAGCGGGGACTCGGGTTGGGATGGAGGCGGAGCGGGAGAGCTGATGGGGGCGTTGGGTGTGAAGATGTGCGTGACCTTGATCCAGGCTGGGCTGGTGGGGGCGGTTGGGAACAAGGCTGCCCGGGCGGCGGTGTTTGGGGTCGGACTAGGACCAAACCTGTAAGGAAGGGCGTTCGTTTCTCTGGTGCAGGCCCCGGGGCAGGAGGCAAGGGCCTCTGCACACAGCCAGGCGGCTGGTGGAGGGTTTGGGTCTTTGGGGGAAAGGCTGGCAGCGAGGAAGAGGAGGAGGAGCCCAAAGAGGGAAGCTCTGGTGGCCAAGACATCCTGCGGGCGGGCGCGGGGCTGGGGGCTTGGGGTTGCCTCGGAAGTGAGTCAGGGGCCTGGCACCGGGAGGCAGCCGGCCGGAGGGCAGGATGTGGGAGCCAGCTCGCACAGGGGGCCGAGCCAGGAAGGGGAAAGGCGTCGGGCGAGTTTTGGGAAAATGTGGCGGCCAGGTCTGAGGATGTGGGTTTGGGGGTACAGGATCCGGCGTGGGGGGGGCGTGGAAGCCAGTGGGGGGAATGTCCGAT